TATTAAAGAAAGTTTATTATTATTATTGTTTATTATTTCCAGAAAGAGTATAATAATATATTATTATTATATCTCTTTATTTATAAATAATATAAGTTTAATTATAAGAATATACTTATCGAAAAGGATATTATATTATTATATAAAGATCAATCCTTTTTTAGAAATTAATTAGAAAAATATAAATATAAAAGAATACTCTATATCCTTTTATATTTTTTGTTTTTTATTAATTAATTTGTATTAAAATCTATAAAGAATTACCTTCATATTACTATAGTAATAATATAAGTTCAGTTCTATATAAACTATACCCTAACTGTAGTACTAATACTATCCGGCCTATTCCCTGCTTGTGATCCCTCATACTACTACTGAGTAAAGTCTTAGCCAAGAGCGAATAATGATCATGCGCCATTCTGTTTACCTAGACTAATAATAAGAATGGTCACGCGCCAACTTACCTAATGATTGAACACTAAATAAGGCTTTTAAGGCATCAAGAGTCTTACGTAAATACTATGAATCAACCCACTTTACTACTCCGTACACCTTTTGCACTTGCCCAAAACTCAATATCCGCGCCCTCAAACCATTCAAACCACCCTCCGTAGCCCCCCCGGTCTAATAACACTAATAACACTAATTTAATTGATAACATCCCAAACATCTTCCTTCTTCTACAATCCATCCAAAAACAAACTACCAACCTCTAAATAACCCCACCTCGAACTCGAAATCAAATCATTTAGATCCTTTTACAAACTCTACATCCTTTTCATCACTTAAATAGAATCCCAGTCCCAAAGACACCCAGGCACACTCGAGTTTATGTCCATCGAAAATCTCAAGACGATCGGTATGCGCCCTTCCCCCTTCCCCTTTTACCTTCAGCTTTGCGATGCAAGTACTTCACAATATTGCTTCGGCGCATCTAGCTATATTAATACACCTACCTACAACTGATCATTTCTATAATCATCTTTGGACCGCCTCGTTCTTTCACTAATATTTTTCCATAGACTCCTTCGCTGACGCCGATGCCGCCGGAGATCCAGGACCAGACCAAGGTTCAGGGGAGATAAATTCGCCGTTGAACGCGAACGGATCTTCCTCTCCGACTGCGAATCTCAAATCAACAAAGTCCGCAAAGGCTGCTCCTGGCGGAACTCAAATTGAGAACTTGAAAGTCTTTGGTGAGGAAACCTCCCCCGTCTTCATGACAGATTCTCGTCGACAGTCGAAGATTAATCGGACCTTTGACTTGGGTTGTTTTCAAGTTGCATAGACTGGATTTGGCATAAATTCTAACCTTATTGCACATTTAGATCCCTTCGCCGAAGCTGACGAAGAACCTGGAGACCAAAAGGCCGCAGAATATATTCATATTCGTATTCAACGTATGTCAGCCCCACTCTTCCTTTATCCCTCGCAGCTACCTGGAGATAGAGGGGAAGGCTTGCACGTCATTCGCTGACTTTCATGACTATAGAGCGTAATGGTCGTAAGACTTTGACCACTGTCCAAGGACTTCCAAAGAAATTTGACCAGAAGAAGATTCTTAAGGTTATCAAGAAGAAATTCGGTAAGTAGCGCAAGTAAAACCACACACAAGATATCGGCGGCTGATACTATAGGGAATAGCTTGCAATGGCACCATTGTCAACGATATTATCATGGGAGACGTGATCCAGCTTCAAGGAGACCAGCGCAAAGATGTGCAAGAATTCCTCACTGGTAAAGACGGCTTAGAGCTCGAGGTCAAGACCATCAAGGTAATTTACGTTATTTCCAGTTATTCATGATACTCCGTCTAACCAGGCTCTACATTAGGTCCATGGTTTCTAAGATTGGCAATCACACGGCCTGAGCCATCGCAGTCTCGGAAGCACGCATCGTCAGATATGGTTGCTTGCACGTTCAATTCAAACATTGCTGCGAATGACTCCATAAACGTGTTGGCAAGATGGTCCCCGATCATTCCAGCATTTTACAAAGAAAGCGCCGGGACGGTCACGAGGGAGGGCTTTACAGATGGATGGTCCAACTTTGCAGTCATAGCAGGGTTTTCATTCTCTTTCTTTCACACTAGTCAGAACAGGTGGCTTAGTGCACCTGGCTGTAAATTTTGATTCGTTACACCTCATGGCATAGTAGAGATGCCAATCCATAAAAGGTCCACTGGTCCTACCATTTATTTCCGTATTCTTGATTTTATTTGAGTCGCCTGCCCGTGAACAAAGAGTGTTGTATCTGCTAAACGTCTCACACTATCAAGTTGAACCCCATTTTGACGTACCCCAAGATCTCCTGCATGTGCAGGATCAGGGGCAGGGGCGGACAATCCGTCCTTGAAAGGTGCAATTGAGATAAAAGACTGACCATGCTAATGAAACTTGCGAGTGAGAAGACTGAAATCGACAAGGACGTCTCCTTCCGGATTGCGAGTCGTGGATGAGTCAAGTGATAAAGAAATGTCAATGTCTGCATTGTGGTCAGAAAGGTAAGAAATTAAAAACCAGCACATTTGCGCAAATGACGGCACGTACACTAGCTATGCATACCCAAGCTGGCAAAAGCAAGCGAGGATCTTCTGAACCGCCAGACAAATAAAGGATCCAAGAAGTGGTATACGCATTTATCAAATTGATGGTAAGGAGGCGAACAATTGTTGCTGTGTGCCAAAGTCATTTCGAGAGCTTCCATTCATCTTGCATGGAAGTAGCTACATACCTTGGGGAGTGTAATTAAGCAACCTGATGAATTTCTCTTTAGTTACATGTACTAGCTTGGTCTCATTTCTTTGAGAAGAGAGGAAGTGTTCTACGGGTTCACATACCATCTAGACATCAAACAGTCTGTGAAGAAGAAGGCCAAATAAGCGGAGGAGAAACACTTCGTTGAAAATCAGCATGCTTCCCTCGCGAATACAATAAATATGTTTTATCATAGAGGAGAATTCGAATCGTGATAAGGAAGCTTTATCATACCCACTAATATCAGGAGTTGGTATTAGCATTAAAGAAAATCGGCACGAGTCTCTTTCTTCTGTAGTTTTATTAAGATTTAGCTCACAAGAACAGCCAAAAAGACTTCAGTAACCCTAAATCTCTTCTCAATAGTCCACGCCGCCCCTATAGCATTCATCTCATCCCACAACAGCTCCCTCATAAAAGTTAACGCACATCGTAAACCCCACCAGATCGCCGGAGCGATGCTAAGTAGGCGGCAGAATAGTAGCGGAAAATGCCAGACTCTGGCGACACCAAGAAGTACCGCGACACGAGGATGCAGAACTGATGTCTTGCCTTCGGGGTCCGCGGGGTGCAGGTTTGGTTGGTAGGGAGAAGTTATGGTTGTAGATGATATTTCTGGGGGGGATGCAGGGAAGGAGACTTGATGCGAATGGGGGTGGGTGGAAGCCAGAAGGAGGGTGTTTACGGCATATGCTGCCGTTTTGCAATAGCTGGGAATGCGAGATGTGGACACTCGATTTCCTGCTGGGATATTCTGTTAATAAGTGATAGAGGGATAGAGTGATAGAAGACGTGCGCGACTGGCTTTAGAGGAGTATAGCGAAATTCTTTACCTTTAGGAAATTGGAAGTAAGACAGAGGTAATCTGAAGATCGATGTACCGGTACTGTGAAATATAAATTCTAGAAGTTATGCAATCAAGCAAGGGAACCCCCACTCCGTTCAGCCCCCAATTCCCCAATTCCTATTCAGCCTTGTCGATCCGCCTTTGCACCAGCCACATAAAGCCACCAAGGCTGTCCGTGGTAATACTCTCTGGCTTCGAAAAAGTTCAATCTCCAGCATGGAGAGGGGAGAAATCTCATGAGAATCCTCCCACGCACGCTTTTTCTTTTCATTCCGTCCTTATTCAAATTGATACTGCCTCGATGGCTCAAACTCTCCGCAGCTATGCCTTCACTACCCCTCGCCGTACCATTTTCTTTTCCAATTCTCGACACTTCTCCGTCATAAACCCCCGACAAGCTGCTCCCCCCAATCCCGCACAGCACCCCGATCGTAGGTTGCGCATGCAAGCTCTAACAGGGAAACAAATGGCATCAGATGTGGGACTTTTACCTAGTATGTCTGTCCTAATTGCCCTCTCCACTCCACAATTTCTCGCGCTAACAAAGTTCAAGAGACATTCATAGCTGCCAGAGCCCCGTCTCTCTTCAGAAGCCCCAAACGGCATCTGAAATTCCAATGGGCACGATTGAAGACACGATTTTGGGATAATGTCGCCATTATCGCATTCAAATGGATGTCCCCCAGAACCGGCCGTATAAGTAGAAAAGTGCAAATCAAGCGCGGTTCAATAACAGCCGTAGCCGAAGCTCTTTACAGAGAGATGTACCAAAACTTTGCGGCTGGTAACGCTAAAAGCCTGCAGAAAATTTGCCTTGATGGACTTTATGAGAGTTTCTCGCAACGAATTGCTTCGCGACCCAAGGGACAGCGGGTATCATGGAACCTTGATAAACTTAATCGCAGACCTAAGATAATGTCGACTAGAGCGGTTATGCTACCCGGGGGTGATGGCAATGTGATACGACAAGCGGTGGTACGAATTTCGAGCCGGCAAAGCATGATTTTGAGGGATCGCAACGGAAAAAAGCTTCCAGCAAGTAATACGAAAGATGTTGTGGAGTATGTGGTTGTGCAAAAGATTTATCGGAACTGGCAGGATAAGGAGTGGCAGATCTGGGGTACGACGCGGGCTACTACGTCGGAGGATGTGGAGCAGTGGGGGGAAATGGCTTAGAATAACTCGGTGCCAAGTCCGAAAATGTACATACAATATGCATCTGTCTTATTGTATGATACCAGTGGAGGTTAGCTGTTTGTATTGTACAAGAATCCCCCCTTTGAGAGGTCTGGCTAGCAACCTTTAGCATCCAGAATCTCGCCGAAGAGAGATGAGTCAGTCTGTCATCTTACGAATGGTTGTCGTGCTTTCCGTATTCTTGGGGACGTGAGAGGCACAAAGAGCTAAGCGTATCGCTCTAGCTGCAGAAGCTGCCACAAGAAAGCTCAAGTACTACCAAAATGTCGATCCATAAGCCTGGGGTATGGTCTTGATCACAGCAGACAGCTTTTCGATGGTTTATGTCATTTGTATGCACAAGCTTGCTTCCTCAAACTCTGCTCCCTTCATCCATCTCTCTGTCTTTCGTTGTCCATTCACCCTTCTCTCCATCCCCTCCTCCACCAACATTGCCTTTCACCCACTACCAACCCCCTTACTCCAGCGCTTCATCACTCCAATCACAATTCTTATCTTGCTCTCCCGATGATCCCCTTCTACTTTCCAAACTCAGTCGCATCGCATCATATCATATCTTCAATCTCATATGGCATTATGGTCCAGCCCCTGTGCGCAACCATTCCGTAGAGCTTTCGCTGTCTGTATTTTACCATACCTAGATAATTTGGAAACAAAATACCTCATTCAAGAATGCCATACCAAATAAAATCATCTCTACATGCATAAAATGTACTTAGGACTTGATGTCCACTTGCGAGGAACGAAAAAAGGAATCAGAGGAGGACCGGGGATCTTCCAGCGCACTGCAAAGATTGAAGTTCATGGGTAACAGCATGGCATAGCAAGACAAAAAATACACGATTTCCATCTTCATCACATAGCACAGTCCAGCGAAGGAGATCTCTCTCGATCAATTGTCAACGTTCCCTCTCGACCCCAACCAGCTACCGTGTTCTTTCATCTCATCAGCCTCCTCACATTCTCTATTCTCCTCCTATTCCTGACCCACGCCAAAAAGCGCATCGATTGATCACTGTACAAGTAATTGGTTAAAATACCTTCGAATCGGGGGTTGCATGATCAAGCCTGCCCAAAGAGAAATGCATCACAGAAGGAACTTATAATTACAGTGGGTAGCTGTAGCTATGGCTACATTGCAATCATACAAGCCAGATAAGCCTAGTACTTTGTAATGAACTCATAGTAAATTTGCTTCAGTGTCATGTTCAAAGCACTTGCATAAACCTGCTGAATTGCACCATCATATAAGTTCTTTTCGCTTATCATCATCACAACATTGGGACTTTATTCACGATGGCAATGCTTTTATTCCAGTCTATCTAAGCTACGATACACCTGATTGATAGTACATGGTTTGTTCAAATCGAAGAGACTCTATCCTATGTCTATCTTGTCCAAAGGAGCAAGAGAATCAATAGGGAGCTGGTCACCATATGAATGGCAGACCAGGAGCCACAATGCCCCGTCATGATTGATTGGTAGACAAGAATCCTGTACAACAGTAGATGAAGCCAAATTTCTGCAAAGATGAAGAAATACCACAAACTCCGTGAAATTAGAAGTCATGAACATGGAGACACAATCTGAATACCATCAGCATTGATGTCATGAAACAGAGATAGTAAGAGAAATATGCTACCCGTATGTCAAGAAGAGTGACGAGTACAACCGTGGCGATAACCGTAACATTGTTTCTGACAGGAGGTCTTCGTTGAGAGTACAAAGATTACTCGACAAGTGGAGCATGCCCACTTGGTGTGGGAGTTGTTGACCGATCGTCATGAGCCTTGTTGCCAACACCAACAGTTGAATACGGGTAGTAAGCTTGTTGAGAGGAAGCCAACTGATCAGCTGGTGGACTCTGCATACCCCAGTATGGAGCTGGTGCATATTGCTGGTATGGTGCATAACCGCAGTATGGTGACGGAGCAGCAGGGCTGCCAGCCAAGTCAGTTGCCACTGCTGGGTTTCGCATACCATATCCAGGACTGGCAGGATAGCCTGGGTAGTATGCTGGTGCTGGCGAGTACGAGGTAGCACTGCTATAATAGTGACCTTGACCATCGGTGAAGACGGCCGAGGGAGCTGAATAACCATAGTACGGACTATACGCAGTGTAACCATAAGGCGATGCGTAGGTCATAGGAGATATCTGAGCAGATGGAGACGCCTGTTGTTCCACACGTCGATCAACAAGAGGGGACTGGAAAGATCGAGTAGAGGTCGAGGGCTGCGATCTGGAGGATCTGCCTCTGCTACCACCATTTTCAGAGTCCTTTTGGGCAACTCGGAGAGATTTTCCACCGAAAGTGAAATCATTCTATGATACCGTTAGTAGACTACCAAAGAATTTGAAATACGTGTCTTGCTCACCTTTGCGTTGACAGCACTAACAACTGCCATGGGTGACTTAAACTCGACAAAAGCGAAAGCAAACTTCTCTTCTGCTATAAACGTGGCGAGTCAGCTTGGGAACAATCAGCAAAAAAGTGATGACTTACGTTCAAACTTGGATGCGTTCTCTCGCAGGCTGATGTCTTGGATTTCGCCATAGTGCTCGAAAAGACCGCGAATTTGTTGTTCCGAAGTACCTAATGGAAGGTTGCCAACGAAAATTGAGCGACGGTCGACATCGTATCTTGCCAAATATGCCTTGGTAGCATCAACCTCTGCGGCGGATGGTGACTGCTGAGCAGGTGCTGCGAGACCAGCGATGGGTTGCAACTTGTACAGATCATGGTTGCGGAAAGCCTGTGAACAAGTAAGCATGGAAAACCAAGGATATGCAGGACAAAACTTGAACTTACAGATTGAGCATCTTGACCTTCATCGTACATTTCGAATTGGACGATGACTCCTTCGTTGAGATTGAGTGCAGTACGCTCCACGTGAGAAGCAGTGTAACAGAGCTCAATCTTGCCAAATCGCTCAAGAAGACCTCTGACTTCGCCAGGAGTGACGACTGGGCCATATTTGCGCTCAATAAAAAAGAGACCTGAGAGCTGTCAGTAACAATATCGTCACAAGGGATGATCAACTCACGATGAGCTTTTGCCTTTTCGCAGCGGCATGGGCGGCCTTTGATCAAGCGGCCTCTGCCTTCCTTGATAGCTCTCTCGGCATGTTCTTGTTTCTAGTAAAGGTCAGATAGAATCAGGAAAGAACATCATGATAAAGACTTACAGTGTATTGGCAAAATGCAAAAGGCATGTGCTTTCCATCGCGTCGAATCTTGACGTAGACTGCGCCATACTCTCGGAAGACTTGAGTGACAGCCATTTGAAGGGAGTCTTCATTCTCGGATTGAAGAAGACTACAAGAGGTCAGTGTGGATCACCAAGGAAAGATAGGAGGAAGAAAGGGAATTCAAGTCATGGATGGAGGTTGAGAGACCTACTTTGCAACGAAAACACAGCAAGAGGGAGGGTAGATAGCCTGCGCATCCTCAGCCTTGACAACAGTGTATCCACTAAGTCTATTGCCTGCAGCATCGGCGCTTTCTGAGACATGCTCTTGAACATGAAAAGCAAGCTTGCGCTGAGTGTCACCGTAGTTGGCATCAATCGTGTCAGCGGAGTTTGACTTCAACTTTGATGGTGACAACTCGGAACTATTACTTGAACTTCTTGAGCGCCAGTCACCGTGAACATCTCTGTGAGGATGTCTCAGAGCCTTGGGTGTATGTTGGTCATGGTTGCGATACTTCGAGCCATTCTTGCTTGGCGATTGGAATGGATCCTCAGCATTGGTTTGGGAACCGTTACGAACAAACGGGGGAGAATAACTAAAACAAAAGTTAGAAATCGAAGGATAGTACAAATAATTTGAACCTTGGCACTTACAGGTCAGAGTTCCTAGAGTTACTCGTGGAATGACGGCCACAAGATGTGTTATCGTCTTCGACATTGCTCCCATCGCCCATTGTAAGATGAGCAATATCGGTAAGAAGTGCTCCTTCAAGAAAATGTTAGCAAGGGCTTGTAGATGAATGAACAAACACAAGAAGTGGTTGGTGGAAGTGTAAGAAATTGCCAGGATGGTAGACACAAGAGGGAATAAACTATAAAAACATCGCGAGCACATGGCATGAAGTTTGCGATGCTTTGCTGAGAACGGAGTGTGGAATAGATTAAAGTTACGACAGTAAACGTGATATGTGCGAGCCATTCCACGAAAGACATATATTGAATGCTCTCATGGTGGCGTGAATGATGGCATGAAAACACGAAGAGGGATGGTATCTTGCAAAAGGTGATAGGAGTACAGTTGTGCGACTTGAGAGGAGGTTCTCCATGAAGAAGGACAAAGTAGAGAAAGTGGAGAAGAGAGAGAACACATACCATCATTATCGGGAGTTGAAGGGACATCAGTATCACTGGCAGCAGAACTACCATAGGTACTAGCAGGCGAGGGCTCAATCGTGGAAGAAAGTGCAGAGTGCGAACCAGAATTGGTGTAACTTGAACTGGAGGTGGATGAAATGGAGTGCATACCAAGGGCATGACCACCACCAGTCGAGGAGGGAGTAGCAGGCGACATGATTAAAAGGAAGCTTGAATACAGGAAAAAAGTGTAGAAAATATGAATTGAAAAGTATAAGAAGCGTGATGTAGATGAAGCTGTAGTTTGACGCGGGGAGGGGAGGAAGGGGGAAATTTGGGTGAAGAAAGCGGGGAGAGAAGAAAGAGGAAAGAGGAAAGAGGAAAGAGGAAAGAGGAAAGAGGAAAGAGGAAAGAGGAAAGAGGAAAGAGGAAAGAGGAAAGAGTAAAGGAGAATTGTCGAAAAGGAGACAAGACAAGATAAGAGAAGAGTGTGTGAGAAGAGTTAAATCGAGAGGGGAAGAGGAAAAGGAAACTACTGGAAGTAGAGGAAAAGTCGTATGTATCAAAAAAAGTGTGTTGTTTTTGGGAAGAGGAAAGTATCAACAGAACCAGATTTGTCAGATTATTTATATGATTTGTTTCTTCAAAAGTGCGACTACCTTTTTCGTTTAAAGCGGAATTTAGGAACCTGGACAGATATAAAAAGCAACGGGCCGAATAGGGTAGGTAGGTAGGTAGGTAGGTAGGTAGGTAGGTGTGAAGATGTGAAGGTAAGAGTGAGGACATGACGGTGGAATATACTACATACGTCTTTGAAGAGGAAGGAACCACCCACCCGGAAATAAATATGAGTGAGTGAGTGCGTGGGGAACTATCTACTCACCTAGACACAGGTACCATATGAAAGTATGTGATATATATAGAGATAGATACATATATATATATATATATGTATATATACTCACCTAAATATATACAGATATACCCAGACTTGGTAGAGGAGAGTGAGTAAGTACCTGGTATCTACCTAGTACCTACCTAGGTAGTTACTGAGTAGTAGATACAAGAATGTTCCTTCCTTTCCCAGACTGACCACCATCATTGATCAAATGTTCATAGGGAAGAATTCAGTTCAAATATTTCAATCAATTCAAACGTTCATTCCTTCCGTATATGGATAACCCAATTTCGCCGACGAGAAGCACCGGGATCGAGACCGAGATCGAGATCGGTTCGATTCTTTTCTCTATTCGGCAGCATTGAAGTCACCCAACTTTTACTACTTGGAATTACTACCTGGGTGGGTGTGGGTGTGGGTAGATATGTAGATATGTAGTAATAGTAGGTATATGTATGTAAGCAATGAGTCTCTCTATGAATCTCAAATTGATGTGGTCAATGGTAACCTTAGATGGAGAATTGGTATATAGAAATGCCAATTTCGAACTTTCCTTCCTTCCTGTAGGAGAATGATACCTTGAAGATTCTTTGAAGAAAGCTTTGTATGTTACTCCTGAGTATCTACTAGGTACTTACTTGGTAGATAGATTGTATACTGAGTAGGTATGCTTTTGAAAAACAAACAAAAACAAAGTTCCATGTGAAACAGCACGTGAAAAGGACAGTTCGGAGACGGATTAACTATGATGAATGACCTTGGCAGCGGCCGATCACCCGAAGATTCAATTAGGAACAAGAAGAAGGAGCTTCTTGGAGCTACAATAAAGGCCTAACCCCAAGTCCAGATACACATCAATACACTCACTATACACTACTCCACTACTTCACTACTACACTATATCACTAATTCCTATAGAAACCTTGCGGAAACACATAACACCTCTATATTTTGTTAATCATAACCAATACCGGTACTAAAAGCCTTTGCCATGAAGGTTACTCCTCCGCTCTCTAAGGGCTTTTTTGCCCGAAGCTTAGATGAATTCAAACGATTATCAATGAGTGGTAAGTCTTCCAAACACACAAAGCATCAATTACATGCAAGCTTACTCTCTCTAGCACTCACCGCAGAAGGCACAAGAAGAGCTACATCTCCATTACATCTCGCAAATTTCCACAATCCCGAGTCTCTCAAAGACTGCAAAGTCTTCTCCGATGCTGATATGGGAGGCTTCTCACGAGTACATTTCGACTGGATGCCTCCCTCCGAGAAGTCACAACCTATCCCTTCCAAAAACAAGAATGGTCACGTCAAATTCCATGGGAATATATCGATAGACCTGCCCCCGAATAGGCCTCAAATACAGCGAAGCGGCTTTGCGGCTTGGAGGACCCTCGATCAACCATCTACAATATTCGGGAAATCACTATGGAATATAGATGTATATGGATTCCTTGCCCTGCGCATCAAAAGTGATGGGAGGAAGTACTTTGTGAACATACAGACAGAATCAATTGTGCCTACGGATATCCATCAACATAGATTATATGCGCGAAGGCCTGGAGAGTGGGAAACAGTATTGATTAAGTGGAATGAATTTGTGCGGACGAACCATGGTGTGGTTGTAGAACCACAAGGTGAGATATTGAGGCAGAGAGTTCGGACGGTAGGAATAGGGTTGATTGACAGGGTTCCTGGTGATTTCCAGCTTTGTGTGGAAAGGATATGGGCTACTAATGGATTGAGTGAGGCAGATTTAGAAGAGGATGGCAGAAAGGAAGAGGGACAATTGAAGAGCAAACATGGCGCGAATATCAGATGGAGTGAAGGCAGAGCGGACTAGCCTCCTTATGAATAATCTCGTTATGCTATTAAAAGAGCCACTTGACAGCATGCTGTTCTGGCTCAATTATGCCTCATTATCCGAAGATGGAGCTTCCGCTGCAAATGCACCATTACCTTTATATCTCCTTTGATAATGTAGCGTTAGCTGTAGGTAGATTAAATCGATTATGAATTCACTGCTATTACTACCATTGCCTTGTGCATGTTATGAATCTATTCAAGTGCCCACTGATACCCCAATTGTCTTTTAAATCTCTATCCTCGAAGATGCATCTCACATAGTAATAAATCCTACAAAAATTGTACTGTCTGAATATCTTTTGCAATGCTCGAGTATTTACTTCAAGCTACTGTACCCCGCAATATGTACTCAACAGCAACCGCGTTCGACGCGTCTTCCTTCCTGCCTTCCTTCACAAAAACACACAAATCTCAAGACGTAACAATCACAACTTATTCTTCGACTTCAAACCCCAATTCCATTGAGTTTGACTGAATCTAGTGGGATGTGTGTGACTATATTAAGTCTCTAGTGTGCGAAGTAGCCATCGGAATAATTTGACCATGACTCGTTACCTGACACCCTCCAAGATAGGTTTGCTCGTACTCATCGAGCTCTATACAGATGGAATTGTATCTACGTCATCCACAATATCCATACTATCTTTTGTCCTAGCACAATTGCTACCATCGAGCTCGGTGAGGCAATTAGGGAGAGCCTCTATGACTCCAAGGTATCCTATACTGGATCTGGAAACCTTCGAATCTCTACTTAAACAACACAACGCCGCATCCGGACATCCAGGAAGGACCCTATGGGATCATTTCCTTGCGAAACTCTGGAAGATCGATAGTCTAGATGCCTTACATGAGTTCTTCGCTAGGCTGAACAATCTTCTTGCAAAATCCCGAGAGGACATCAAGAAGGACGGCGAGATGGGCATTCCTCCGCCCTCGGGGGATATGATACTACTATCTCGCATATCCCCGCTCGGGAGCTTTTTACGGAAAGCTAAAATTGAGTTTGAACGACTAAAATTCGGTGATGTGCTTCAACTTTGGACGACTTTCATGAGATGGAGGCAATACTCAAAGGCATATTGGGCGAGGAGGGGGCGTGCAGTTGGAAACTGGGCCGGGGATAGAGTCTTAACGGAAGGAGAGAATGGATGGGGGCTTGATGAGACCGAGACTCTGGCTCATATAGCTTACGGCGGTTTGGGGGAGGAAGAGGCCTCTGGATCCATTAGTACTGATGATGTGGAAAAGCTACTTGAGTTTCACGTGGAACAGATGCAAAGTAAGTTTTGACTCGTATTGCATGAGCGATTCTAACGATTTAAGAACTGGGCACGAGGATGCCTATTGAGGTAAAGTCCAAGCTCAAGTCACTCCTGGACGACAGTATCATAACGCCCAGTTTGTCCCACTACCTGACGTTAGTACAAACAACCCTGTTACTTGTCTTAAATTAATGAACAATCAGCTTCCTGGATGCTTGGAGATCTGGCGACTACCCTTCATCCTTCGATAGTCTTCATCGATACTTTGACTACACGATGCAAAACCGAGACCGCTTATTCTACCAATATGCTCTCATGAACCTCGCAGTTCTTCAGGCCGATTTCGAATGTTACGATGAGGCGGTGGCTGCAATGCTTGAGACTGTCTCCACTGCAAGAGAGAATAAGGACATGGCATGTCTAAATTTTGCTTTAAACTGGTTGTATCATTTCGGGAAGGCACACCCGAACATCATCGAAGGCTCCGGCTCAACAAGTATGCTTGGTGTTGAGAAAGAGGGCCTCGCATTCCTACGGATCAAAGCCAAAGAGACTGGTATGTGGACACTCTGGAGCTCCTCGCTGCTCAGCGAGGCGAAGTTGGCATTGTCCAATGGTGAGAGTGTGGCGGGTGCTTTTGAAGGGATACTCAAGAGCTCCCACCTGGTCACAGAGAAAGGAATGAAGAGTATGATGGGACCACAAACCGCCATGCAGTCTTCTCTATGGGGTCGCCTAGGGCTGGTTTGTCTCTCCAAGCAGTACAGTGAGATATTCCTCCGATGTCATGCTCGGTACAGTCTATTCGATGATACCTTAAGGTTTACGTGCCGGATAGCACATTATTTGATGGAACGAGGCTCCTATGAACAAGCAGCAGAAAATTTAGAGGGTTTAGATTCTAACGCTTTGCGTTCATGGAAAGCGAACCAGTACTGGCTGAGGTATCGTGGGATACTGCGCCTCAAGAATGATTTACATACGAACAATCTAGATGGTGCTGACCACATTCTGTCCCAGTTACTTCAATGTGATGGTCTTGAGGCGGACTCGGATCTTTCCTTTGAGACCAGCACCCTTCATGTCGATTACCTCATCCGCCGAGCAGATTTTGGAGCCGCATTATCGAAATTGGAGCAGCTTGCCTCTTCGCTAAAGGAGCAAGGAGATGATATCAACTTGCGAGTCAGGATACTGACGATGAAAGCGTTTCTGCAGAGCAAAACAGGTCGCCCAGAGAAAGGTTTTTCTGTCGCGGTTCGTGCAGCAAGTATAGCATGGCGAGCACGCTTGATGCCGGCGCTTTGGGCTGCCATGGGAGCGGTGGCACATATTCTGGTCGCACTTTCTGAGTTCCAAGCTGCTTGTCAAATAGTCATTGCTATAATTCCTAGGGCATTAGAATGCGAGAATTGCACACTTAGCGCACAGCTGTATTCTTGTCTCGCTGAATCATTCATGGGATTGGCAGGACAAGCAGCAGCAGGGGAGCCAAAAAGAACCGAAAATTTAACAAAATCCTTGGACTTTCTTGATCGGGCGTTTAAGGAGTTCTGTGCTATTGGAGATATCAATGGGCAATGCGAGGCTCGAGCCAAGAAAGCAATGGTGATGATGGCCGTGGGAGACAAAGCCCTGGCAAATGATTATGCTTCGTCTTTCTTGGATCTTGAGCAGCAGAGAGTTGCGGTGCGTATCTGAATTACATGTTTGAGCTCAAGCTCAGAGAACTAAGTATGGATGGGTGGGAGCCTGGCGTAGAAATAATCATGACGCAAATGATGGGAAGCATTGTTATGATCAAAGAAAACTAGACTACATCTAATGAATGCCATTCTATGTTCAACCTCCCTTTCATTGTCCAGTTAGCCCTTCTTGTGGTAGTTGACCTTATCGTTCCAGCTATCATATATTGTCAGTAGTAATCCCACGTAACGAAATGAGCCGATTCCAGGTCGAGGTCGCTTTCTTGTAGTAAAACTTACAAAATTGTCTAGTTATACGGTCAGTAACGAATCTTGTAGTAATGTGAATGTTAAATATACCTTATCCCCATCGCCCCAGAAGTAGTTCCTGGTCCTCATGTTTTGATAAGCATATTCCGTTCTCTCCTCCAAAGGCTCCATATGATCCCAATGATCCCAATGAGCATCCCACAAGATCTTAGTATTGACAGTTGCGATGATCAAGCAGGGAATCGTAGCGCTATCACAATAATCAGCCTCGCTGCACCAACTTCGACTATTATCCGCAAGGTATGTGAGTATTGCTTACTATATTGACAACTTCCTCCAAAGATCTGTCGATTGTTAGTGTTGGTAGGCCTCTGAATTTCTAGGAGATCCATCCACTTACCACTAGTAGCAGCAGCATGATCCTTAACGGCCTGACGTTCACGGTTGAAAGAGTTATTTTTGGTGTTGGTGAATTGACTCTCGTTGCTGGCGAAGCGTCGTTGAGCTTGGGTTCGGATGGATTGGAAGTGCTGGGCAGCAGCACGGGTTACTCGTGCAGAAAACATTATTGTTGTTGATGTGGTTGAGTGAAGTGTAGGTTGTAAGTGTTTGCCGCGACGCTGTTCAATTTCGTTATCGTATGCGTATGACCGAGACCTTACTGTGAAGGCCTGAGGCATGATGTTACCAGTGGAACGAGACCTTACTGTGGAGGCCTGAGGCATTAATGAGGTCAGCGATTGTATCACGTGGACACGTGAACATCAACCTACGATTTGTTGCTCAAAGAAAGTATCCATCCACTGAGTGAAGTTGAAGCAAAGTAGAGTAAAGTAAAGGAAGGCAATTAGTTCTCGCGCCCCTTCTTAGTGTATCTCTTGTAGGGAAGTATCATAGTTGTTTCCATTCGCGGGAGATGCATTTACGAAACTTCGTCTCGAGAATCTTGACGTCGAGTTACTTCTTCAATCTCAAAACATTGCCACGGTGAAACTACTGCAAAGCCATCAAAGAAACAGAGATCATGGAATCTGAGAACGACGGTAGCCGTGGGCTTAGAATCACAACTTGGAATGGTAAGCGCGTGTAATGCTGAACGCGATGAAATATCACTAACACAAAGACAGTCAACGGTATTAGGTTGGTGCTTGACAATTCTCAAAAATCATGGATATTCTGTGATCGTTAATCCTGTGATAAGAACTGATATTGAGAATTGAGCAGGAATCCATTTGGTTACCAACCATGGCGTGAGAAGAGAACATTTTCTGTGAGCAGCCATCTGTGACATTGAGAGAAATAAAATGCAATATCTAATGCATGTGCAAGGCGATGTTTGATATCCTCGAAACCGACATTCTGGTGATGCAAGAGACCAAAATTCAGAGGAAAGATCTTAGAGATGACATGGTCCTAGTATCGGGCTGGGATGTCTACTTTAGTCTGCCAAAGCACAAGAAAGGTATATCATCATTATTATTGTTGAAACCAATGCTCATTCCATCACACAAGGATATTCCGGCGTTGCCATATTTACAAGGAATTCAGTATGTGCTCCAATACGTGCTGAGGAGGGAATCACCGGAGTTTTGACTCCTCCAAACTCCACGACCAGCTTCCGTGACCTTCCCAAGGATCAGCAGATTGGGGGGTATCCCACAGGCGCCCAACTTCAAGATTACTTCCTGGATGCCGCTACTCTGGACTCTGAGGGAAGATGCGTCATTCTGGAATTCCCTGCTTTTATTCTCATTGGTGTATACTGTCCTGCGAACCGGGACGAAACTCGTGATGACTTCCGACTTGGCTTCTTGAACGCTCTTGATACACGCGTACGCAATCTCGTAGCTCTTGGAAAAAGTGTTTTCTTGACTGGGGACCTTAATATTATCCGAGAGGAGATCGACACGGCCAATGCAGGAGAACAGTTGAAACAGCAGGGAATAACGCCGGAAGAATATATAACAACGCCCGCTCGTCGTCTATTCAATCATTTACTCCTCGGAGGAAAAGTTGTTGGGGATAGAGATGAAGGAAGGGAGACACAGATTATGTGGGATATATGTCGCGGCTTTCATCTTGCACGGAAGGGAATGTTCACTTGCTGGGATCAGAAGACGAATGCCAGACCTGGCAATTTCGGCTCAAGGATCGATTACGTCCTTTGCAGCGAGGATAGGCAAGAATGGTTTCAGGGGTCAAATATACAGGAGGGACTTATGGGATCGGATCATTGTCCCGTTTTTGCTACCCTGAAGCCCAAAGTGGAGTTTAATGGTGTCGAGGTCGATATTCGCGATGTTATGAGCAAGGATATGTTCAAAAATGGAGTCAGGGTACGGGAGTGGTCGCTGAAGGATCTACTGCCAACGTCAGCGAAATTAATTCCAGAATTTGATCGACGTCAGAGTATTCGTGACATGTTTACCAGGAAACCGACCAGCTCAACGACTGTTGCAGCATTACCCTCGAGTACGTCGAAAACGATAAATGGGATGGAGGTGTTGGCATCAAAAGATCCAACACCCAGTCTTTCCAAACAGGCCGACACTCTTGAAATCTTCACTGTTAGGACAATATCTCCCACGAAACCTTCCATATCATCGCCGTTAAACAACTCGGTTAAGAGGTCTGCTGGTGTATTGGCGCCAACACCGTTATCGAAGCGCAGCAAGGCAGAAAACAAAACAAACAAAGGATCTTCTGGTGGGAAGGGGAGCAAAGGACAAAGTAATCTGATGGGTTTTTTTAAGCCCAAGACGCCGCCAGCAGTAGCTACCCCTTCATCGACGAGTAACTCTGCTGCGGAAACGCCTATAGCATCAACATCATCGGCCGATCAGGAAGGACTTGCTGGCTCTGACATGGAGAATAATTCGGCCCTGAAGGCCACGAAGGATATAACCAGTGAGGAAGAGGTCAAGGAATCATTTACACCACTAGAGCAGACAGAAGTACATGATCCCATAGTAGCGAAGGAATCTTGGTCGAAACTATTAACGAAACGCATTGCACCCAGGTGTGAACATAATGAGCCATGCATCAGCCTTATCACAAAGAAGCAAGGCATCAACCGTGGCAGGTCTTTCTATATGTGCTCTCGTCCTCTAGGACCATCAGGTCAGCAAGAGAAGAATACTGAATGGCGCTGTGGGACATTCATCTGGAGTAGTGAGTGGAATGGGAAGGAAAGTTGAGATTGGAGGCAGCGCAGCAAGCAGCAAGTAGGAGGTAGTACGAAGTATGAAATGTATACAATATCCATCAAATTAGCAGTATCAATCAAACGCGAGTAAAATTTACATTCATTACATTTTCATCGCTCACGTGGTACTCATTGTGAGGAAGTAGAGACCTGTCTATCTAGCATCCAGCCATCGAAATATATCGACATCAGTCACATCACATACTACATCCCATACACAATCCCATTCTATCAATCACGTCATCATAATATCCATTTCCCAGCCTTCTCGGCTTCCTTCGGTATCTCACTTGGATTTTAAATTAAAACCGAGCCCACGTCGTCGCTGCCTGGAAACGGATTTATCGCTTCTCAAATTTACCATAATGTCAATTCACCTTGATGGGTACAACAACCAGTCATTTAATTTTGAGCATTAGGGCTGGGCTTTGGGGTAAGCAAGAATTATTTTCTCGCATGATCGCACAAATTTGTATTGGGCAAATTGAAGATGAATGTTGTTAGGGAAGGCACTTGAATGTTTTCATTTTATTTACAGTCACAATGCAGGAAGTAGCCAGAGAGTATCATCGAGTGTAAAAAGTCTTTTCTTTGTAATATGAACTGTATGAACTGTGTATGCAAAATCTAAGTACAGATTTTATTCCATTCATCCAACCACCAATCTGTATTCACAATTCATCCAGTTAATTCATTCCATCCTCAGTGCACAGGCATCGATGAACAAGCTCACGAAGAAAATCATGAACTTGAGAAAGTATATGAACATGGAGAAAAGAAAAGTAAAGTAAAAGCAAGAAGGAAATATGTACATGTGATAACCGCAGCAATGATGAACATCAAAGTCCCAGTTCCAATCCTTTCCATGCTGTCGTAACCAAGGAAGGAGGAGGTACACTATTGCAGATAATTGGTTTTTGCGGTTGTCTGACATCTGCTGGATAATGACTGAACGCCTCTAAGTCAAAATCCATGTCAGAAAGCGGTGATTTATAGACACATCGTAATCGGATACGAATAGACCTTTGGCCCTGAATCTTAGCTGGCTGGTAACTGGCGTCTTGCATACGGTCCTGTAAGTAGTAGGAGTAGCCGTCTCATAGCCTAGATTTAATTTTTAATCTTCTCATTATTCGCTTGGTTACAGAGATGTTATGGCACTTGTGCTTGATCATCTGTGAATTTAATCGGTTCTTCATATAGAGTTAATAAGGTCACCGGGGACTGGTTCATACTGATTGTGACCAAAAGGGTGTAATCAGACTCCAATTGTGTACTTAGAATCTACAAGTGAAGAGCTATGTAGATGGGCTTGAAGGAGTGATTATATACAGCTTGGGGAACCTCGTAGGCTAGGCCTAGAGGAGGGAGCCGAAGAGTAAAAACCCTAGGCTACGAAAGGAAGGTAAAAAGGAATGAAATCATCTAGGCCCATATGGCCTATATGCCAGTGGACGGAACTGAATCGTCTGTTCCGTCACATCACCCCCCCCCCCCCCCCCCCCCCCCCTTCGAAAAAGCGTGACCTCACGCGTCCTTTCATAGGCAAATCGCCTGTGATCT